ATATATTGGGGTTTTATTTGGTTTGTGTTTTTTGTTGGAAAGAACCAAGCAAAGCAGAAAAAAAATGCAGGGATTGCTGTTTCCTCAAAGAGTTGTGGCTGAGAGGTTGGTTTATTTCATTTGCATACATCTTCCTTTCTATGAGCTTGCATTCAGCACGTGGGATGAAAGCAGGGATACAGCAATGTCATATTTTCTGTTTCTATTACTAATAATTAACATTATGTTTCAGACTGAAGAAAATGACAACAAAATAATCTTTTGAAATTTCCTGAATAATGATTTGCTTTTCCTGGCATTGGCATGCCTTGTAACAAAATAGGCATTACCACAAGCTTACGGCAACTACAAAGGTTGCTCCAAAAGTAATGCCTCCTATTTCCACAGAAACTAAACAGCTACAGAGGTAACATAATACTATAGAGCAAATGCTCAGCTACAAAACACTACTTTTCAAGATAGTCACCACCATTACACACTTTTGCTAGCAAGAAACAAGAGCCTGCATGTCACGCTCATAACAATCTGCACCAGCGGATGTCACCCACCAACAAATGTCAACAAAGTGTCAACAAATGTCAGTGGGTGCCATTTTTCTTAAGTGGAGGAATTCAATGCCATACCTTATCTCCATACACACTTCCATGTCAGGTGCTATTTTGTGAGACTGCCCCTCTGCTGCCATTTCTTGCATCAAACAAAAATGTAACAGAATAAGGGGGAGAAGGTACAGCCTCTACTGCCATACCACCAACATCTGCCTCTGATGTCGTGGGCCAACATAAAATAGGAGGCATTCATTTCAAAGCAGCCCATGTACATGCCACAGAAATGACAAAAAAGAAATGAAATCAAAGCATTCCATCATGAACTCTGAAAAGTGACTTTTTCAGCAATTACAGGTGATAAGCATCAGAGTTCATTAAAAAAAATTAATCTGAACAGAAATTATTTCTATGCTTTCTTTAAGAACTCAAATATACATCTTTCCCAACCACTGAAACCCTTCCCTGTCTCCTGCCTTCCTTCTTCCTAAGACTTCTCTTCTCTAGATATCTAGACTGAAATGCTCAGTATATATTTCAATCACAGCCTATTTTCTCAGTTTCTTTCACCTCTTTCTATAAGGCCACTGAAGTTTGTTTCTGATCTATCCCAGTAAAATTGAAAACCCAAGTAACAAACAGCCTCACTGATAAAAATTTGATTAAAATTCTTAAGAGGTAGGTGGTCTTTCTTCTCATTCTTCTTCTTCGCCATTCTCTTTCATTTCATATTCTCCCTGCTCACCGCTAAGTTTCTGTTGCCCTTCTCTCCCGATAAGCACATCATCCTGCTTTCAGTGATTTCCTCACCTTCTCTGTGTCAAGCATAGATGAAATGCTAAGTCTGAAGAAAGATTCTGTGATGTACTCAGACACTGCACTCCATAATTCCACGACTTTCTCCCAAATCACAGTATTGCTTGTTAAATACATTCCTTTTATTCCCATCTGATCCACAACTAGCAGACTACTGCTGCTCTTAGATCTCAAATTGATACTTGTCTGTCAAACAGGTAACTTTTCTAAATTCCGTCTTAGACAGGTTGCCTCGTCTCCGCTGCTACATTACACTTGCAAACACTAGTTTTAAGAATAATTAGTCCCCTGAAAACAAGTGAACACAAAATAAATACAAAAATGAAATATAGTTTAATTCTGAAGCACAACAACAGTGCTGGGTGAAAATACTGAGAAGAGTTCAAATTGATATTACAGTAAGAGACATTTGGAAATTATCAATTATATGACACTATTTTGCCATAACCTGGAATTCAAATTCCATGATTTTTCTGTACATGTTAACAGCCTTCCCTATACTATTTATAGCCACTCTGAGAGGCACAACGATGGAATTTTTGCTATTAATGCAAATTAATTAATGTATCATGCATCCTGCAGAACTATATATCACCTTACTGCAGCACTAACCTCTGCATTTTTGTGTTGGCATTGGTCATCCTAACACACAAATACTCAGCATCATTAATAGCATACATAAGCCTTTAGGACCTACTGCGGAATTTGTGAATTCTGTAGTTCAGAAAGAACCCTCTGACAAAGCCAAACTTTGAAACATTAACCTAGTTCAGGATGGTATATGTGCAAAATGGGTTGAGCATTTGAGAATAAGGTCAGCCAAAAGTATTCCTAATTTGCAGACCTGACTTAAAACGAAGTTCGCCTGATCAGACAAAGGTGTTCACCAGCAGAGTTTGAATTCACATTTCCTCCACCACAGTGCAGCACCTTTAACAGCAGGGCATGAAGAAGATGAGATGGGGATGTGTCAGAAATGCTGTACTACGCACAATGGCCAAGGGGTACAGTACTCCTACTACAGTACTGACTTTTAGAGCAGATTATGAACGTAGGTTCACGATCAAAGAGTGACACGGTATTCCTGAGCAATCCCAGCAGCTCTCTTCTGGGGACCGGACTTTTGGAATGAGAGTTGGTTGCTTTGCATAATTATTAGATTTGAAACTACTAGAAAAATTACACAATCTAACTTATACAACCTTACAAAAAAAGAACTTATCCTTCCCTGCCAATTAGAAGTTTTCAATGCTTTTACCTCTCTTGGTGATAAAACTCTGTTGACCACTTCTTGCCAAAACAAACATGCTCAGGTGCCCAGTTTTGTAATTAAGCTTCTAAAATTAACCTAAAAACTGCTGTGCTTTTTAATCTTTGTGGTAGGATCATTGCTAATCAATTCTAGCAGCTGAAGCCCTGCTTGTACTCATACTGATAACACTGTCTTAATTTGCCCTTGACATTAAAACTGTGTTACATAAAAACAAACTCCACTCTTATTCCCAATGTTTAAGTAAAAAAACAACTGACCACCAAAACACATTTAAGCATTTACAACTCTGCCCAGAAGCAGACTTTCCTTAAACTTTAAAAATACTCTGAAAACCCTCTTATCATTTTTGCTGTTTGCCAGATGGAATTCTTCAGATTAAGTTTGGACACTTTGCTCCAAACATTTCACCAGGGCTTTTAGAAAGCCTTATTTTGATAAGACAGCATATGCATATCCCAAACTGAGGGGAGATTGTTCGTTTTGTTCCTTATGATTCATTTTTAAAGGGAAAATAACAGCAGTGAGTGACAGGCTGGACAGAGCAAGAGTAGAGACAAAGAACTACATGAAGAAAACAAACACTGAATCACAGGTGGAAGAACAAGTCAGAATACAGAAAAAATGAGAAGATCATGTTTTTTAGAAGCGTGCAAGGAATCTTTATGTACCAAAAAATCCTAACCATAGGAAAGATCCAGAAAACTAACATCTATCACAGTGACTACACTTTTCAGTATACCAACATCTTTTTCTGTGACCAGTACCATGGCTCAACTTCCAACTCCCCTACGTGCCGGGTGGCCCATTCAGGCTGAATAGCATCTTATGCAAGTCTCAAAGAGTCAACAGCAATTTAAGAAGTCTGAAACGTCTTGCATTTTAGTAATACTGTTTGCCCTGTTGGGAGAACTAAAAGGATTTTGTATTTTCAGAAGCATTAACAGATAGGAGACTGTTTTTTCATGGGCTGAGAGGATCAAAAGAGCAAAAGTGATGAAACTCTGAGTTGAGAGAAAGATAGTTAACAGGGAGAGCAAAAGATGTTTGCATAAGCAAAGCAGCATTAAGGCATTCATTCATTCACTACTTCCCATCATCAGGCCCATGTTCAACCACTTCCAGGAAAGGAGGCTCCTTCAAACATAATGGTTCCTTGGGAAGATAAATGCCACAACTGTGAATGCCCTCCCATCCTCCTCCTTTTTCCTCATCTCTTATTACTGAGTACAAAGCATATGGTAGGCTAGGATATCCCTTCAGTCAGTCAAGGCCAGCTGTCCAGGTTCTATCCTTTCCCAGCTCCTTGTGCACCCTCAGCTCCTGGCTGGAAGGGCAGCACGAGAAGCAGAAAAGGCCCCAATAAGCAGATGCTACTCCAACAGCTGAAACACTGATGGATGCTGTTTTGGTCACAAATTCAAAGTGCAGCACAGTAAGACTTACTACAAAAAAAAAAGTCTATCCCAGCCACAGAGAGCAGACATATTCTGTATTCACTACATTATTTTAAACACTGATTTGTAAACATATATATGGTTACATCGATCTTTCTCAAGTTACATTTTCTCTTCCTTACACATAATGGAGAAATAGTAGAAAATTTGTTCCAACTGAAACATATGGTCAAGGTTAGTTCTTAAATACAAGCTTCAATAGGAGAGCCTTTTGTAAGACTAACTTCATATTTCGTGTATATTATCTCTTTCAGGGGAAAAATATACAAAAGAAAAAAAAGAAAATCTACAAAGGTAACGAGCAGAAGTCCTATGGTGACTTTCAAACACTTACCATATTTAAAATAACAAACAGAAACAAGTTTCTTGTTCTCTGTATTTTAATAAGTCTCTCCTGTGACCACAGAACTTCTGGCTGTCAAAAAAGCCTTCTCCTTTTCCACAATGTTTTTCTTTCTCACATATTTGCCCTACAGCCAGTATAAACAGGAGAGTCGGTTTATTGAGCTATCAGAACCTGCAAGTCTGACTGCAAAGATAAATATGAGAAAGAGGTGTTGGAGTAGCTTAGCAAGGAGTACTGTGATGCTCTCATAAAATATAAGCCTCTAATAGGCCAACTTCTCCATCCCCCTATCCATTTTCACTCTCTCTGTAGTTCAGGAACGCTTTAGAAATGGGAAATTTTCCACAGTGTTTACTAGACCATTTCAAACCACCACTATGTGGAAATAAATCAATGTCTATTAGAAGGCTGCTTTCAATCTTAATTCTGATGCAGTGCTTTTTACTGAACTACAAAATAACCTGATACTTATGGTGCTGAAGTTTATACTCAAGCTCTTAATTATACAAATAAGATTAAACTAGAAATGAGAATCAATAACTAATGATAAAAGCAGAAGTACTTACATTAAACTTAATAATGTCATATATCAAGTACCGAGGAACAACCTGTCCATTAACCTTGTCGACGATCATTTCCTTAAAAGAAAAGAGATGACATTTACATTTACTTCATGACTACAAGAAAAAAAAAGTCAACACATTTATAATTAGTGAATAAGCCTGGGAGTGTGATGTAATCAAATAACTGGCACATTCTTACTGCCAAAAAAAAATTTTTACAATATGTCAGCATTATAAAAATATTATGGTCCTAAATGTCTCATGAAGCATCCAGTAAGGAGGCAGAAATCTGTCCTAATGCTCCACATTCTTATCTGAAACATTTCTATGTTAGGTTCTCCACAGCTTTTAAAATCACTACCTTTCTTGCAAGAACGAGGCCTTAAAAAACACAGAACTGCAACCCTAACTAGCCACTTTTGGAAATCCCACCTACAACAAGAACTTCAACAGCAGAAAAGTAAAGAGCAAGCTCTTTTATCCATTTTCTATATTTGCTTTGGTCACTTTCATGTTAGCTGTGTTCTAAGCAGCAGTGACAAATGCAATTTGTTTGAATGCACTGTGACTAAGCACAAGGATTCTTTCAAATGGAAATGCAATGTCTGTATCACATGAAATTGGTTACAATTCAATATATATTGGTAATCTATCTTGAAAATGTCAGCAAGGAGAAAATCTGTTAATGATGAACAAACATGAACATGCACACCTTTCAAGCTGGTACCTATATCTACAGCTCAGATTTGTGATATGAAGCAGGGCAGTTCATTAGTTTGATAAATTAATAAAAAAAATATTTAATCACTTTTTCCATCCTGCTTTCTACCACCCAATTCTTAGCTAATAAAACAGTTCTACCAGCAAAGGGTTTTTTTGCAGCCAATATCAAATTACAACTCCAAAGCCATACATAGGAGATGAAACAATAGGAAAGGGTAAAAAAAGCAGTTCACTGTAACATTATGAAAACGTAACTATGGGCTCAAGAATGAATCCAAAGTAACATCCTACATCAAATTAATTCTTGATGAGTCACTAGAATTTTTGTTATACAACCTTTTAACTTCTCCTAGAATCTGTAACTTTCACAAAGTAAACCCCAACAAGATTTTCGAAGATTTTCAGTCTGTATACGTACCAAACTTTTTGAATTATACTTAGTAATTAATCACATAAGGCTTTTAAAAAATAAGCACGTAGTTTTAAATACCAATTTGTTTTCAAGTAAATATAAAGTTGGAGGCATTTAAAGATAAAATAGAATAAGTAAACCTATTGTTTCAAATAACAATGGGCACCAGAAATTCCCTACTTCATATTTTGCAATCTCATCTTCTATAAACCGAATACAGAGATGGAGATCATATTTTCACAGCCAAGAGTGAATCATCATACACATCTTTCCATAAAGGGGAAAAAAAAAGACTGAGCCAAAAATACTCCTTCATAATACTACAATACCTTATTCTTAATTCTAGAAATCACTTATCCATAGTTACTGTCAAATAACATTTGCAAAAGTCTATGTAGAACTGGTGTAATTAAATGCTCTTCTTGTCACCTTCCAATATTGTAAGACATTGGCAAGCTACGAATGGAGATGCAACACTGGAATGCATTCTTTGATAATAAATTTCATAATTAGCTACACAAGTTGATGGAGCAGGTAGAGAGAAAGAAGGCATTGTGTTCAAATGTGGAAGAGTTTTCATAGATGCAATAGAACAAAAAACAGAACAGATTTATTTGTTTTCCCATTAGAAATAAGGAGTAAAGTAAAAGTGAAATACAAAAATGCTACTACCCTGTTTCAAAGTTACAACTGCATTAGCAAGCAAAGCTAGAACACATTTCAGTGAACACAGATTTAAAGTTTAAGGAATCATTTCTTCAGCGTGAATATCTAGAGACCAAGCTCTTATGCAAAGCTAGCATTTATATGCAAAACCTTGAAAACAATTTGATGCCCAGTCTAAAAGGATTTTTAAACCTAACTTTCAAAATCTGTATCTCTAGATATTCTGTTTACGACTATTATAAGATACAGACAAGAAAGTCATGTACTTTCTTGAAATGTTCTCTGGAACGTTTAGATTTAACCCAGAATTAAACTGTATATCAACACTTTTTCTCTACTTCACACATGCATAAACCTTTTCGACTCTATTACAGGTGCAGGTAGCCTCTTTTGTCACATCTCCTTTTCTTTTCTTCCTCCCTCCTCTCCTGCCTCTCGTTCTTTTCCAGATCCCGACTTAAATCCCAGGGCAAACACACAGGAAGACAATATGCCTTAGAGTAGAAATTCCTGTGCTACTCATCACCATTATGACATTGGCATTCACTGCTCCATTAGCTACGCCAATACAGCTGTCATAAGGCAACAGGTGTAAAGCAATCATAAGAATGATTCAATTAATCTAACACATCATTATTTAAGATTCTGATCTCAGAGTCTTTCTTGAAATTATAAGAATTGAAAAATACCTCCAGAATTAGATCTCAAAAGCAGATTCATACTAGTAGGCAGTTGAAAAAATGTACTACTTGAGGAACTCAAACTCACTTATTCTAATTAATAAAATGATACTGTAAAGCTATATTTAAGACAATTTCTAGATATCACGTGGCTATATAATACAACACAGCAGTATGCACAAGTAATACCTGCAGATATATATTATCTTTTATATATCCCATGTAGGCTTACAGCTGCTATAATGTTTCAATATTGCCATTGCTAGGAAATATAGTTTTTATCCCTTGCCCATTATCCACCACTTTAATAGTAACTTAACATGCAGGTTTGCAGAACAAGGTCCACTTCCCAGTTTCTTCAATGTAATCTGGAAAACTGGTGTTAATCTTTGCTGGTGCTGCAGAGCATATGCTTACAGCATATCAGAAACAGCAACTATGCTACGAGCTTTAAGCTGGACAAGTAGCAAAAGGAAAGATGTTGGCCTGACAGCCCAGGGACTTGGTTTTTTTCCACCTTGAATCACAGGTCTAAGTTGCTGCTGGATATAAAATAATGCAGAATTTAATTACAATTCACAGAATCTCATTTTCCCAGGAACTTGCAGAATGCAAGTTCTGTTTCTAGCTGAACCAGACCATGGAATTGGACCTAATCCTACATCTGTTCATCGTTCCTTTTCCTCCTACCTCTAGTCTTTCCTTTATCCCTTTATTTTCAAAACAATTCTAGCCAGTGCTGTATTTCAGGAATACAAATAGCTTAAAAAAACCCAACTACATGCACAAAGTGTCAGTCTTTGCAAACTACAACAGTTGTAAGCTGCACCATTTCTGACAGAGCTTACAAATATGTGAGCTCTGTACTGACACAAAAGTGCAATAGGTTCTCACTCTCCACTGACCACAATTATGTGGGATGCCTTCGTCAGTGTGAATGTCTCTCTGCATTCATGTGCCCAGTAAATTCTAAATTCAAGCTCTAGGAGGGCCGCCTTCACCTAGGACCTCACATGTCAGATAGTCCACCAAAGCAGCATAAAGGGCAGAGTGACTGCAACCTTCCATCCAGCTTGAAGACAAAGCTGGCCAAGGATGCCAAAACTGGGGACTGAAATCAATAAACGTTTATAATGCATGACAACATACCACTAAAACTTTTTTTTTAATTTCAGTTAAAAATCATGACAGTCTTAAATGCTTGGAAAAAATGAGAAGTGCATCTGTTTTATTTTAGTACTGAGTTACTAAGGAAGCCCTCACACAGCTGAATTTTAGAGGCTGTTCTTGTAAGAAGTTCTGGACACTAGATATATTTTGCTTACAAACACAGATGAACAACAATTAGTTTTAGTTGCAGTCTATCCCATTAGTTTTTAAAAATCACCTTTTTTATAAATTTAGATGCTGTATATTTACAATAAGAGTCTTTGTTTACACAAATATTAAGCAGCAAATCAAACACAGTATATTTCTGCATTTTCTACTCACTTGTTCCAAAGCTAAGTAGAAACTTCCTGAAAATAACTAACCAGTTTTCTGAACAACAGCCAAAACACTTGAACAAAGATTTATGCATTCCCTCAGATACTGCTACGGAGGCAAAACACCAGGCTTCCAAAGGAATGCTTAATGTTATGCTAGTCACCTGTAGGTAGTGTTCAAATTAGCTTTAATGAGATTCGCAGAAAACTTTCTTCCATGCCAGAAGAACAAACACAACCAAAAAGCTCGAGATGAAGACAGAATATTGCAGAAAACTTCTTATCAAGAAGATGTAATTGATCGTGGTAAGAACTGTTTACAAGTAATTTCAGCCTGAAGTGAACCTTCAATGCATTTGAGATTCTCAAAGAACGCTGCATGAAAGGCTTACATCAGAAGCTTTGAAGCATGTTAAGAAATCACTGAATTCATGGCAATTACCTTTATTAAAGTTTTATACATTCCCATTCTAAATAACCTTGCAGGGACTACTTGATCTTTTGTATTCTGATCACATGCAATTGTTTCACCACACTGAACTAACAGAATTCTGTTTTCTTCCTCGTACTTTTAAGATCAATGTAAAGTAAGGCCAGTTGGACCCCTTTGTTCACTAACTTCATTCTCTGGAAGCAAAAAAGCTAACTTCAAGGGCAGTAGTGTGAATTACTTCAATCTGTAATTAATGAATTAACTTCAACAGCCTTTCTGCACTAATTGGCAAAATACATTAATGCAAAAAAAAAAAAAGCCAAACTTCCCTTCGTGTAGATTAAAAAAATGAAATCATGCATATATTCTGAGTGAGGGAACAGTTATGGAAATTATCATTTGACACGAACATTGAAGAAATAGCAAATTACAAAGTTAAGCTGTTGTGATGCTTCAAGCAATAGGCAAGCTCCAGTCTCAAATCTCCTGAAAGGAATTGCAATGAAATACAAATCAAGGTGTTTTTTGTTTTTGGTGTGTTTTTTTTTTTTTTTAACAGATTAAACAAATTTATGTTGAAATCTTAGCTATAGAAGTATTTATCTATCAGAAGATTTCAGTTTTATCCCAAGGTATATTACTCAATCAAGTTTTCATATTTTGCTTTCTACTTCGTGAAAAAACTGCAAGGAAAAAATAATTATGCCATACAGTTAAATACTGAAATGTACTGTAACAACCACACTTCTACAGAACAACAAATTAGGTAAAGTTATAGCTTACATCCTAGGCTACTATGTGATACAATCAGTGACTTGATTGTTAATTCTTCCAATTTAATTTATTGTTAAGAGTCAAAAAGCCAGAAGAGAGCTCCTCTCCCATGCCCAACAGCTGCTGCCACATTCACACACACATACCAATATGTGCTTCCCTGTCCTCCACGTATGCATATTAGCCAACCTTAGTAAATCACCTGTTTTGAAACATAGAGAAGCAAAGCAGCCTCCCTGAAGAACTTCTGTTTAAGTAATGCTTTCCAAAGACTTCCCTGTAAAACCATTGCTACAAAAGCATGACAGCAGGGTATCTGCTCCTTCACAATTCTCTGGTAAGTGACAATGAAAGCAAAGACAATGTATAAATTCACTCAGAGTGAGATGACTTTAACCTCAGCCTAAGGACTTGAATCTATCTTTGGTTTTTACCAAGCAGAAGTGATAGTAAGGTAGAACAACTTCACTGCTACCAAAACATGACAGGGAAATGCATTTACACTGACAGGTTTTTAGTGTAAGAGCTAATGAAGTCATTCAGCTAAAATAGAAGGGTCAAGAAATGCATTCTCTCTTCTCATGACTACTGTTCTGAAAAGCTCAGCAAGTAATATTACTAGAGGTCAGCTTTGGAACCACAAATGCAGATGTTCTAAAGCTTATTTTGCAACTGGTTCATAAAGTCCATTAGGAGATTTACATAGTTTAAATTAGCACAGATACTTAGACATGTTTCAATCAAAAAAAAAAAAATCAAACTAAACCCTTTCTAAATCAGTTAGTAATTCAAATTAGCTGAAAATAAAGATGACAGAAGCAAAAGACATCAAGTCACAGAAGTCAAACACCAAAATATCAATTTTATCAAATTTTACAAACACTTAGATCAACTGTGTAATATTTTCTATGCCTACTATTTCAAAACAAAAAAGCTATAGCAAGAGATGAGATTTCTGCGTTTATTTCTCTAGATTCTCTTCAAACTTTCTCATGCTTAGAGAGTGTCATCTCAATACCTTGATTTATTTCAAAGACAAGTAAACAGCTCCCCCCAGAGCAGTTATCATTACTTTTCTGTAGGTAAGAAGTGACTTATGAACAGTGTGATTCCCAGTGTTCAGCCAGTGACTGCATCTACTATCCCTAAATCCCATGATTCAAGCCTAAGAAACTTGGTCTTGTTTCTGAACAAAAATAAATTGTTGACACTGTTACAATTATTATACAGAATGCTCCTTACCCCATCTAGAAGAGTGTTTGTTAGATGCATACGAAGATCTTTACGAAATGGAAATTCCAGATTAGACACATGAAATATGGAGTTGTCTCTATCGATCATATATACTTCATTCTTGCCATCAATCAGCATCATGTACCTGCAAAGGCAACGTTAAGAAGTTAAAGATGCATCCTCTAAATCTCAACGCTTTGTCTTGTGTTAAAAAAAATAATCCTGATGTGTTATAAAAGAGCATTTGAAAAGGAACTTTTTATAGTTGAAAAATTGAAGCCTCTTGTTTCAAAAAAGCAGTTTAGTTTGATGCAACTATAACCAAGGAAATATTTCAAAACTAGAAGTTTAGAATATACCTAGAAGAACATCACTGTGTACAGACAAAATGATAAAAAGAACGGAGATCTCAACACTGAAAGGAACACATGAGGCTAATTCAGACAGACTTTGCTAAAAAGAAATCTTTGACTCCAATTTTTCTTTAAGTGGGCAAGAACTTTACCTGATATAAACCTGCAGAATTTAATTCACAAGAAACACTTCTTCTATCAGAGGCTATCTAACCCTGCAATACTGCAAATTTCAACAAAAGACGGAGTCTCTTTCCATTAAAACACTAAGAAATTTAGACAAGGAACATTCTTCTGTCACAATACATGTTAAGAATGCTAACCACAGCATCACAAATAATTTGTGAGCTTGGTTCAGTTGCAAACAACTGATTTTTCTAAAACAAACAAACAAATAAATAAATTATTTACAGTAAGGCAGCAGTAGGTGCCAAAATCAAAAATTTAAGCTTCTCTGTGCTAAACCCAAAGAAGACTGTTCTAATTCTACAGAGTTTACATTCCATACATAATGAAAAACAGTGAATTAAAGGTAAATGATTGGAGTTTCACCATCCACACCAGAATACTCTGAAACAGAGAAACAATATTTTGAAGACTCTCTCTCAGAAAAGAACTTTTCATACTTGTAGAAGTCCTCAAATACAATAGACATACTGGGGGAAAAAACAGATCTTTTCATAATTCATCCAATTCTTCTTGGGAAGTCTTGGTTCTGAAGAAATAATGAGTTACCAGTAGTCTTTTCTAAAATTCACCTCTGCTCTTAAAAGCAATGCCCATAGAATCCCTGATGTCAAAAGCAAACCAGCCCCCAGAACCCCTTCAGGCATTTGGTCTACACAGGCAGCTCAACTGCTACCTTTACAGATCCTTCACTTCCAGAAATCAGTAAGCTTACAAAATCAGAAATCAGGCTGCTTACAAGGGCATAGCATCACACATGCAGCTTAAATAAATACTTCCAGTATTATAATTCCAATCACAGTACACACCATATATCATCTTAACTAATAGGCATCCACAAACAACATGTGTACTTCAAGGTGTCATGTACAAATCACACAAAAGTAAAGACATGTAGAAGAACTGAAGTCTTCAAGAGGGCTGGGAGTAGATTAAGTTAATGCAACATTAGGAGAGCTGAAAGTCGCATGAGGTATTTATGAAAAGAAATAATAATTCAACCTACATTCAACTGGATGACTTCATGTCAGTTCTTTAAGAGATAAAATAATCTGCACACAAAATTAGATTTTTCAAATCACACACATTTGCTCAAAACTGAAACCAATTACAAAGAGTATGTTGTGTTTTTCCCAAAAATGAAGAAAATCACATGAAGGAGAAAGAGGTATGTAAAGTGGGTAAAAAAATACTGTACGCTTTTTATTTCAAGCAACCTTATCTATGCACTCACATATTCTTCACTGTTTTAAGCACTTGCTTTCTTGCAAGTACTTGCAATTTGTCTCAATCAGAAAATAGCACCAGAAACGATCTCTAATGCTTCAAAAGATCTGGAACATAAAAAACAATGTGTTACCACTACAAATGCAATGCAGTATGAGGTCTTTAACAGCTTCGAAAAACAAAACCAAAATATCCAAAATCTTTGTTTTCAGCCATCTATAATACCTACGAGTTCAGAAGACTTACAGAAGGTTTCAAAATCTTTATTTGAACGTCAGGAGATAGATCTACACCACCACTTCTAAGTTATTTACTCAAAATCTACAGATATTTACTTAAAAATTGGTAGCTCGATAATTCCCCACTGGAATTAGCCACTGAGATTCCTGACCTTCTCTCATGATTTCTTTCTCACTCTTTTCCCAGCATTTCATTGTTAGGTTTTTATATTGCATATTCTAAACCTCAGGAAAAAACCCAGGTCTTAAGGATTGCATACGTGGGATTTCTAATTAATGATTACCAGGTATCGCATATCAAAAAATTTTGGTATCATGACAATGCAAACCCACTATCTCAATGATAACATTCTTGCTTATTTTACTTTATATACAAAAGTCATCTGCATGAGCAAGGCACAAACTAAGAACAAGTGCAAAGTCCTGCACCTGAGGAACAATAACTGTGTGCATCAGTACAGGTTAGGAGCTGACCTCCTAGAAAGGAGCTCTGCAGAGAAAAACCTGGGTGTTCTGGTGGACAACAGGTTGACCCATGAGTCAACAGTGTGGCCCTGGTGGCCAAGAAGGCAAATAGTATCCTGAGGTGCATTAAAAAAAAAAGAGCATGGCCAGCAGGTCAACGGAGGTGATCTTCCCCCTTCTACTCTGCCACAGTGAGGACACATTTGGAGTACTGTGACCAGTTCTGGGCTCCTCAGATAAGAAAGCTGGAACTTCTAAAGAGTCCAGCAGAAGGCCAGTCAGAAGATGACTGAGGGGACTAGAGCATCTCCTGAGTGAGGAAAGGCTGAGAGACCTGGGACTGGTCAGCCTGGAGAAGACCGAGAAAAGATTTTATCAATGCTTATAAATATCTAAAGTGTGGGAGTAAACAGGATGGGGCCAGGCTTTTTTGGCGGTGCACAGCTACTGCACAAGGGGCACTGGGCACAGACTGGAACACAGGAAGTTAGATCTGACCATGAGGAAAAACTTCTTTACTTTGAGAGTGACAGAGCACTGGAACAGGCTGCCCAGAGAGGCCATGAAGTCTCCTCCTCCAGAGATATTCAAAACCCACCCACTGTAGGGAACCCACTTTAGCAGAGAGTTGGACTCAATGATCTCTAGAGGTCCCTTACAACCTCTGTGGTTCTGTAAAAGGTTGAAAACATTCCCCTCCCAGTTTAATAAAGTATTTAATTTAGGGATTTAATATATGCAGTTGTAGCAAGAAAACACAGGCATATACTACACAGAAGTGTTTTATTTTCTGTAAACAGTAAAAAAAAAAAAGCAAGCAAATTAAGGAAATAGAAGAAATCAATTGCATTATGTAATCCATCACCTTGAAAAAGAACATCTCCAAATTACACAGCCATGTTGTACATATCTTTGAACAGTTTTCCACAACTGCTTTCGGAAACACCTTGTTTCAAACATGTCAAACATCTATATTCTCCCACTGAATTTCCCTTAGTGACAACAACTAAGCACAGCCACTCTCAGTCAGAACAAGGAGTATATAAACAGTCATTGAACTTGCATTTCCTCTGTACAGAATATAATATTTATCACAACGTATTTATTTTGACTATCAGAACTTTCTCAAAACAGAAAAAGACGCAGTTATTTCAAACAGTAAGAGGAAATTAGCAATGCTAGCAAATCAGCTTGTAGTTCTGAGGGCAAGCTGTGCCATTCGTACTCACACTGTGACTGCTCAGCACCACACAACCTTTTGCTCACTACCCTCCAGGTGGGATGTGAGAGAGAACTAGAAACAAAATAGAACTTGTGGGTGAGATAGAAACTAAGAAGAGGAAAATGGAAACAACAATGCAATAATAACAATACATATACCTGCAGTGCATTCACTCAGCAACCAGCACCAGGCTCCCTGCCAACTGACCTCTCACAACCCCTGAGCAGTGGGGTTGGCCAACTGTCCACAACTTAAGGGCCTTCCATTGGTGTCACCTGGTATGGAGCAGACTAATTCAAGCACCTATCCCAACCCCACACCCTGCTCTGTGCTATCAATAGCAGTGGCTCTGCCCCGGACCCAGGCACACTCCCATTACTTACAACAAACAAACATCAGTGTGCTTCAGTTGAAGCTGAAGCTAGGAGAACAATTTCAAGCACTCTTAGCACGCAGAGAGGGCATGCATGCTTGTGCATTTCCCCCCCAGAACTATGATTTCAAGCCTGATTTTAATTCTACCTCAATGTCAATAATGCAGCCCCATCTTTAAATGTCTCAGTAGGAGACCTTAATAATCATACAGACCATCCACTGCCCCACGTGCAACGCTTGCAAAAATGAGCAGCATGGCCACCAAGAGAAAAGGCAGATATAAAACATACCTGTGCTTTTAGGAAATTGCCACGTTTAGGCAACCTACAGTAATGCTGACAGCAATTATCCAAATGCAAGTCCAAAATTAGAATTCACATTTAGAACCGAGCTGTGAAATTATCAATTTAAGTCTCTCTTCAGCCTCAAATCCATCCAGTCTGATTGCAAGTTTGCATGAAAACAAGCAACCTAACCCAGTACTGAAAAACTGTAAAGGATTCAGTGGTTGGTATGGCAGGAGGGCTCTTAAACAAGACATTATTAAGGACTTAGTGATCCTAAAGCAAAGCTAGGTTAAGGAGACAGGCTCTTTAAGATGCATTATACACATCCTACAGTATTTATGCAGCCCACATGTGCTTTCATACCCATGGTAATTTGGCTGGTAAACATCAGTATTTTATTCAAACAATAACCAAAACAAAGCTAGATAGTTCCTTGGGCCTCCCAAGGATTAAAACTTACAAGAACTTGGGTACTTCAGATACCCAGAGCACAAAGTTCAGTTTCACTGTGTTTACAGAAAGCATGACTTGAGAAAAGTGGGAATAATTCAACATAAGTGAAAGACAAATTTGTCAAATTATGAATTACCAACATTTGATAGAAGAAATGAGCTCAAGGAGGGACTGACAAGTCAGAAGCGTTCAATGAGCAGCTGATAGCCAGAAGCATGCAAGAAGAAAAGGAGTTAAACAACCATGCCACAGGTTTGATTACTGAATTTATTAATGATTTTTTTCTATTCATTTTCTAAGTGAACAAGCATAGCTTACATGCTTAACGTCAGACTTTT